GCTCAGCTGGAAGTTCATGTACCGGGCCATGTCCAAGGCTTGGACACCACACCTCCTGCAGGATTATGCAACGTGATAGGCCTACAAAGAAAAAAAATACAACACATTTCTAAATTTATTTTATCTTCATATGGCAAATCAGTTTAAATGATTTTTTGTATATAACATGAATGAACACTTCTGCATGTTGATCTCATCCGGACGTAGATGCTATGAAAAGGCAGTCTCCAGATGTTAGCATATCTGAGGTGAACCCTTGAAAATACAATGCATGTACTAGAAAAGAGAGCACCAAAGGTAGCAAAAAACATCTGTTTGGATATCACTGAAACTGCACAGTAACCAGGCATCGCTTACCTGAACTCCTCACGACTGTACGCCACAGATTGACCTGTTCTGTTATAGGTCAGGTACGTCTGGGCTAAATTGGAGAAACTTTCGTCATCGAGGACGTCTTCCAAGTACACTGTGTCGTTCATGCCCAGTGGTCCTAATACTCGTTCCCGCAAGAGGGCCTCCCAGGACTTCCCTGTTAGCTTCTCCGCTACGTGCCCAGCCAGGGTGTACAAATCGTTGTTATAATGCCAGACGGTACGGAATGGGTAGATCTGTCTGAGGTACCGCATTCGTCTGCAAGACACATAATCAACGTCAAAACACATCGCCATGATCTCCATCTGGCTAAGTCCATCTCCCAGTTCAAAGCAGAGCTGGGACGGGCTTCGCTGCATTGAGCTGCCTCCCTGTCCTTGTACATATGTAAATATGTGTAATACTAGCACCAATGATTTTACTTGTCCTGTCCTTGCACTTGTCTACGTACGCGTCCATCCCTACCCTACCCTTTGTTTGCACACAGTCACTAATCTGCGCAGCTGCTAATAATCCTCTTCTTAGAGGGTGCAGTATCGAAGATGATGATGATGATGATGAACTAGTAACTGGAGAACCTGTACATGTAAAGCCGCACGTAGGCAGTAGAATTGATTAATCATTAAATATAGTGAGTAGCACGGCTATCTGACATATTACTGAATTTTCTTACATCTGGAATGGTATTGTTTAGCTCACCTTGCCAGTTCCGATCTGTCGTAATCCTGTCCCACTGTAAAAGCAGGATTTTCTAGAATGTTTTCTAGACCGGTTTTGTGCGCCAGGATATCTCGTAGGGTCGTCTCTTTGGTGCGGAACTCGTCCCTGAACCTGAAGTCCGGCCCCAGGATGTCCGTCAGGACAGTGTCCCAGCTCACGTCTTCCCTCTCCCCGAGAATGGCCGCTAACAGGGCTGTGGTGAAGGACTTGGAGATGGAGCCGACTCCGAACAGAGTCGTGTTGTCCACAGCTTGTCCCGTCTGCAGGTCCCTCTGGCCGTACCCCTTGGCGAAAACGGTCTCACGTCCTTGACCACGGACACGGTCAGACCGACTACAGGCCTGGACTCACATGTCATCAGGGTCTGGATGAAAGTGTCCAGATCCCGGAGCCTCTGCTGTAGATCCGGGTCAGAAATGGTTAAAGTCTGCCCGAATAGCATGAAACAGACCACAAGGACCATATGCACAGCAGTGCCCATCTTGCGCGAGAAAGTAGACTGCAGACGGCCAATTTGTACTTTGTAATGAACAACGCGGTTTATCGGATCACGATGACACATCGTTATTTTATGGGTGTGCCTTGTTGAACTTTGAAACTTAAAAGTACACTCTGATGTTTACCCACAATTTGACAAGAGGCGGGAACGTGCTGGGAAAGAGAGCCTAAAGTAAACTATGGACCAACGTTAAACTTTCATTTAGGGTTATCTCATTATATTTACATATATACCACACTGACGTCTTCAATGGTATAGTTTTTATAAGACACTAGTTTCATTGCCTAACTTAAGAACAAATCATCTATTTTTCGTACGTCGATTTCGTACACGGATACCAAAAGGAACAATCCGTACTTTTAGGTACACTATATTAGGCACACTATTTGCAAACCCTAATTTAGGGCTTCTTGGTAACCCTACTTTAGGGTTTTATTTAGTTTTCTTTTGCAAATTCATACATTTGCATAATTAATCAATGTGAATCATTTATAATCATAAAAGTATGAGGTTATGAAACTCTAGTTCTCTGTTGCTCTGTTGATTTTAAACCCTATATTCGTCCGGTTGACAAGGAGATAAGTATAGTGACTATACTTGTGTCATTACCACATATGAAAACTAGAGTTCCGCGATCTCATACCTTCGCCAAATGATGTTACCCTTTGGTCTTGACGAATGTTGACAATTCGCATTAATTATGCAAATTAGGCATTCATTTGCATAAACACTACTAGTATCTGCCAATGTTCTTCTACTTCACAATTACACATGTCACACGTTTGAATAATCATATCATGGAAGGTAGCAGATTTGTAGCATTTTCCTCATTAATTATGCTAATCAGCTACTGATTTGCATAACTATAATTTTAATATGTCAATCATTCTTTAAGGTACCCACATACCAAAAATCATGATGATCCGTCAATCGGTTCTTGAGTTATCCTCCTTCGAATATTTTTCAACGAATGCTTCTGCAGTTCCAGAACAAGCCGCTAGGGGGTCCAAACTCATGTCATTTCTTCCCCAGTCAAAGAGCTACCTACCATCCCAATTTAGTGAACCTACCATGTCCAGATCATGAGATATCAAAACCGGAAGTTCAGCTGCAGTACCATAACAAGCCGCCAGGGCGTCCAAAATCTAATCAGTTCCACGTCTCATGAAGACCTACCCACCTACCAAATATCAAGACAATCCACCTTAGCCTTCTTGAGTTATCGTGCTCACACACACACACACACACACACACACACACACACACACAGACACACGAACGCCCCTGAAAACATAACCTTCTTGGCGAAGGTAATAACAATATGACAGGTGATTTAGTGTCGGTGACATGAAATAAGACCTATTGATCTCCTGCTTTTGTGAATCAGATTAGGTAGTAAACATGGGCCAAAAGGAGCAAAATCACCAATATGTTACTCGAAGCTGCGCGGTTCGGAGAGCCAGAGACACCGGTACAGTCGTCCCACTTCGGCAGTGTAGGGTCCGGGTCGGTCAGCTTCAAGCCACGTTCGAACAGCACAGCCGGTTCAGGGGGGAAGCGATGTAAGGACAGCGAGAAGATGCTACCATCTTTCTCACCTACATCAGCAATGACAAGTGGCAAATACTCTAACGGCCCTTGCAAGCGGAGGAGAAGGCGGTTAGGAGAGTTGGAAGGGAGAACTAAACCCCGTCCGATCACACCAAAACTGAAGTATAAGTTGTCATCAGTCGTGTTCAGGCTGATGGTCAGGTTGCCTGTCGCATGGTTGCCGTAGACTCCTTCGTAGTCACGTTTGTCTCGCGGGAAGTTGTCCGAGATCTCAGGGGGGACGGTGCTGTTGGGCTCTGGTCTCGTCAACCAAGGCTCAGGATAGGTGCAGGCTATGGTATCGTTAATCCAATGGTCCTTACCTATTGGCGAAAAAAAGATGATAGACATATTAGAATTCAGACCTTTTCCTGACCAGTTGACATACTGCAGATGTATTTACGGTAGATTATGTTTTCGCCCAACAAACAGTTGAAATCAAACTTTTAAGCATGGATAAGGCAGCTTGTGACAGAAGAGGTAAGCTAGGTAAATATAACTGTTTTTTGCTTCCCAATATCTGTATGGAGATTAGAGACTTTGTACCTGTTACGATGTCCCCGACCAGGGCGTGGATCATATCGTGGACGTCGATGGCCGCCTCATCAGTGAAACTGTTGGGACCGTTGACGGAGGTGAAAACTCCTCCCGAAGCGGCAGGGTACAGGGACAGGAGAGAAACATAGCCTGCCGCAAAGCCACTGTGTTGTAGTCGCCTGTATCCTAGTGGAGGGCAAGAGTTTTGTTTGAATCAATTCTTGTTCACAGCTTTGAAATAGATAGTGATGTGATAATACCAAGATAGTGATTTCAGATTGCATGGCAACAAGATCCCCATTGTAACATTCTCACATGACAGGCGACGAATGTACATATATACGTTGTTGCTAAATACAATCCAGGAAATATAGCACTCTGGATTTACGCCTTTTATCAATCTTTAAGCCGCTTAAGTTGATTGGAAATTTGCTATATCATCTTAGCCTTGCCTTCAAAACTAGCAGTTTATCTTTTAAAAGACGGCATCGCAAACTACTCCGACAGCAAATTATGAAAGACCTCTGTCCTTGATTACATGTACATGGAAGTCCAAACGAGGATTACATCAATGAACATCTGACTATTTTGTACCTCGGTAGGTGCCAACAAACCACGCCAACCCGTAGCCCTGCTCCGTCCCCGCCTCTACTGGCCAGTCAGGTTCAAGCTTGGGGTCAAAACTCGAGGTGAACTCTGCCACGTGTGTCTGCCGTAAGGTGTCCTCCGGCACCACCAGGCGACCGGCCGCGTCCCTCCCCCCGCTCAGCTGGAAGTTCATGTACCGGGCCATGTCCAAGGCGTTGGACACCACACCTCCTGCAGGATTATGCAACGTGATAGGCCTACAAAAGGGAAAAAAATACAACACATTTCTCAATTTATTTTATCTCCATATGGCAAATCAGTTTAAATGCTTTTTTGTATACAACATGAATGAACACTTCTGCATGTTGATCTCATCCGGACGTAGATGCTATGAGTCTCCAGATGTTAGCATATCTGAGGTGAACCCTTGAAATTACAATACATGTACTAGAAAAGAGAGCACCAAAGGTAGCAAAAACATTTGTTTGTGTATCACTGAAACGGCACAGTACCAAGCAGCGCTTACCTGAACTCCTCACGACTGTACGCCACAGATTGACCTGTTCTGTTATAGGTCAGGTACGTCTGGGCTAAATTGGAGAAACTTTCGTCATCGAGGACGTCTTCCAAGTACACTGTGTCGTCCATGCCCAGTGGTCCTAATACTCGTTCCCGCAAGAGGGCCTCCCAGGACTTCCCTGTGAGCTTCTCCGCTACGTGCCCAGCCAGGGTGTACAAATCGTTGTTATAGTGCCAGACGGTACGGAATGGGTAGATCTGTCTGAAGTACCGCATTCGTCTGCAAGACAAACAAGAGTTCCGAGATCTCATACATCCATGAAATATGGGCTTGAAATGTAGATGTAAATTTCTTCTTTAATTACGCAAATGACCTGTGCTTTAACATAATATATGCTATCGTGATGTTAACTTTTGATTAACTTACAGATGTCCCAAGTATGACATTCCCATCATTCACCATTAAGAAATCATAGAATTTTGGCATTAATTATGCAAATTAGGTCATCATTTGCATAATTAGTATCTGTTGATGTTCCATCTGCCATAGGTTACATACATTACATGTATGAAAGTACTATAATGTAAAACACTGTAATAATAGAATTTCCTCATTAGTTATGTAAATTAAGTCCTCATTTGCATAATTTGCATTTAATTATGTACATCTCTCTCTCAGCTACCTACCTACCAAAAATGATGAAAATACGTTGTTCCTATCTGGACTTATTGGCTTTCAAAGATTTTGCCCGAAGGTCCCCTGCAGTTCCAGAAAAGGCTGCTAGGGGGACCAAACCCAGACCACCTATTCCTTACAGGAAAAGGTATCTGTCACCAAAACTTCAAGACCATAGCAGGTTCAGGACAAAAGATACAAAAACCGGAAGTTCTGCTGCAGTACCAAGGTCATCCACCAGGAGACCCATATTTGACCTTGACCTTCGTCTTTCCAAGACTTACCAGCATAACAAATATCATCGCAATCCATAAAGGCGTTCTGAAGTTATGCTGACCACAAATTTGCGGAAACACACAGACACACACACAGACACACAGACAGACACGCCAAAAACAATAACTCCATTTTTCATGGAGGTAATAATCAACGTCATAACGCATCGCCATGAACTAGTAACTGGAGAACCTGTACATGTAAAGCCGTACGTAGGCAGCAAAATTAATCATTAAATACAGTGAATAGCACGTCTATCTGACCAATTACCGAATTTTCTTACATCTGAAATGGTATTGTTTAGCTCACCTTGCCAGTTCCGATCTGTCGTAATCCTGTCCCACTGTAAAAGCAGGATTTTCTAAACCGGTTTTGTGAGCCAGGATATCTCGTAGGGTCGTCTCTTTGGTTCGGAACTCGTCCCTGAACTTGAAGTCGGGCCCCAGGATGTCCGTCAGGACGGTGTCCCAGCTCATGTCTTCCCTCTCCCCGAGAATGGCCGCTAACAGGGCTGAGGTGAAGGACTTGGAGATGGAGCCGACTCCGAACAGAGTCGTGTTGTCCACAGCTTGTCCCGTCTGCAGGTCCCTCTGGCCGTACCCCTTGGCGAAAACGGTCTCACCGTCCTTGACCACGGACACGGTCAGTCCGACTACAGGTCTGGACTCACATGTCATCAGGGTCTGGATGAAAGTGTCCAGATTCTGTAGCCTCTGCTGTAGATCCGGGTTAGAAGTGGTTAAAGTCTGCCCGAATAGCATGAAACAGACCACAAGGACCATATGCACAGTAGTGCCCATCTTGCGCAACAAGGTCGCAGACCACCAAACAACGCAGTTTATTGTATCACGAGTTAATGACGCGTCGTTCTTTTGTGGGTGTGCCTTGATGGACTTTGAAACGTACACTCTGGTGTTTACCTACGATTTGACAAGAGACGGGCACATGCTGGGAAATAGAGCCCAGCGTTAACTATGGACCAAAGTTAACTTGCATTTCGAGTTATGTCATTATAATTACATATATAGCACATTGACGTCTTCAATGCAATGATAAGTGTTATAAGATACCGGCTTTATTGCTTGACAAATCATCTATTTTTCGTACGTCGATTTCGCACATTATTTCAAAAGGAGATAGATAATTCATACATTTGCATAATCAATCAATGTAAAACATTCATAATCAGTTGGTCATAAAGGTATGAAGTTGTGTAACTCTAGTTCTCTGTATAATCATTGATAGCTCAGTTGATTTTAAGTCCTATATTCATTCGGTTCCACATCCCTGTAATGTTTGACAAGGAGATAAGTATAGTTACTATATTTGTGTCATTAGCACATATGAAAATATCATTATGACAGGTGACTTAGTGTCGGTGACTTAGGAAACATATCACATCCAAAAGGGGCCCATTGATCTTCTTCTGCTTTTGTGAATCAGATTAGGTGGTAAACAGAGCCAAAAGGATCAAAATCATGAATATGTTACTCGAAGCTTCGCGGTTCGAAGAGCCAGAGACGACGGTACAGTCGTCCCATTTCGGCTCTGTAGGGTCCGGGTCGGTCAGCTTCAGGCCTCGTTCGAATACGATAGGGGGTTCAGGAGGATAGCTTTCTAGTTGCAGAGAAAAGATGTCATCATCTTTGTCTTCTACATCGGCAACAATGTTGGGGATATATACTAAAGGTTCTCCAGCCCGGAGGATAAGGCGGTTAGGAGAGTCGGTAGGGAGAACTAGACCCCGTCCGATCAGACCAAGACTAAAGTATAAGTTGCCGTCGGTCGTGTTCAGGCTGATGGTCAGGTTGCCTGTCGCACGGTTGCCGTAGACTCCTTCGTAGTCACGTTTGTCTCGCGGGAAGTTGTCCGAGATTTTAGGGCCGACTGTCGACGTCCTCATGGTCTGTCGTTTCGTCCACCAAGGTCCAGGATACGTGCAGGCCGTTGTGGAATTCAACCAGTGGTCTTTCCTATCAATGAGTATGTAGGAATGTCATGATCATGGCTACCCGGACTGAAGCTAGCTCTTTTCCTTCTTTTTCCCGTGAGATCTCTTATTGGTCTATATATAGTTTCAAAATCATGTTTAGAGCTATGTGGTGGATTTTTTTTTCTTCTACCAACAGAAGGAAACTTGTACCTGTGAGAATATCTGCAACGTGGTAGTGAATGGTATCGTGGACGTCATTGGCCCCTGTGTCGTCAGCGTTATTGATGGCTGTGAAGACACCTCCTGATGTGGCCGGATAGAGGGACAGTAGTGATGTAAAGCCTACCATAGATCCACGGTGATGAACTCGTCTGTAGCCTGCATAGAACATGCCGGACATTTGCGACTTGAAAACAATCCTAGAAGATATGCTACGTTCACATACATGTACAGTACAGACAACGACACCATGACGATGTTGGACTAGCTATATATAGAAAGGTGTCACAATGAGGACCGTGAGTATGATGGATGTAATGCCATTATAATGTAAACCGCAACTACGATATCTTTATGGACTCGTTGTCTTTTATAAGTCGACGCTTAAAATTGCAGACTCATGATCAAAGCTTTTAGTTTTGAAACAAATCATAGTATTTTGTTCACCATTTCTTCAGAAGCCACTGCGAATAGTTTTTAGGCAGCTTGCAAGCATGTTACGAGATGATGCCTGAACTTTGACAACATCAGTCACAACACTGACCTAATGTAAATATCAAATACCTCTGTAGGAGCCGGTAACCCAGCCAAACCCATAGCCTTGCGTCAGCCACGCTTCGACTGGCCAGTACGGTTCGACTTTGTCGCTGTACGGGGGCACGATGGCGTCTGCCGTGTGGGTCTGTCGTAAGGTGTCCTCCGGCACCACCAGGCGCCTGGCCTCGTCCCTCCCCCCGCTCAGGTGGAAGTTCATGTACCGGGCCATGTCCAA